AAACAAATCAATATTTGAGGAAATTTTTTTAGATGTTATGTAAAACAAATCCAACAGCATTAATAGTAAATATATTAACCCCCAAAATACTAAACTGAATACTTTGAAAATGCATGGATACTAGATCAATGTTTCATAAATAATGTTGAATTATAATTTCGTAAAGAATCATTCATTAACTACTATGAATTAGTTAAATGATAAAAAAATTGAGTATACTAAAACTGATCAGCATTACACATCTTTATTAATATTTTTCCCAAGAATCGTACAAATCTTTTGACCTCTTTATACATTATCATTTAAATAGATTTTTATAAAAATTAGCTTTTTTTTTTTTTTACTTCCCCCTTGCACATTTTTTTAAAAACATCTGCAACTTGTTTTCGGCTCTATTTTGAAATTAACATCTTTCATGAACATCCAACAAAATCTTTTGTTTCTTTCAATGAAGAGTTTTGAATCTGTTCTTAAAGTACAATGCACTATATAAAAAAAAATCTTACTTTAAATAACTAGTGTCTTAATAACCAGAGTTCAAACAAGATATATCAAACATGCGACTTAGTGCTAACTATTAATAAACCTATACTATTAATAAAATAACTATTAATAAAACAAAAATGCATTATCTCTGAATATACATACCCTTTTCAACGAAATTGGATTTTTGACCATGGAAGTATGGGGTAGCCGCAATCTGGAAAACATTGTCCAAATAGTTTTGGCCCCCCAATGTTAATTTCCCTTTCTGCGTATTTAATTAAATCTCAAGAAGTTTTAAAGGGGTATTAAACAAAATTATCAAATTAAATTATAAGATTATTAATTAGTTGATTTAAATATTGAAAAATTTTGAATTGTAAGGCATAAAAATTTTTTCAGCAATTTATACAAAATCTTATCAAAATCAATTGAATAGTTTCTGAGTTGGAAAATTTCGAAAAAGCCATATTTTTATCTGCCAATTTTGTCATTTAAAATAACATACTTTAAAATTCAGAAATATATTCTTTTTCTTAGTAAAAATTTGTCAATTTTTCTTAACTGATTGCACATTAGTCACTTTTGTCTAAATTATTTAAAAATAGTTGTTTTAGATGTTTTTTTTCGTCATCAATGACAGCCCTGTACTTGTATTGAAATATTGCACTTAACTATACTTCTTTTTAAAACCTAATACTATAATATATGATGAAATAATTGCCCTACTAAAAGAAAGTATTTAAAATTAATTAAATGAAATTTTATTAATTTGAAATTAACTAATTGTACAAAAGCAATAAATAAAACAGTAAAATTATGATGAAAAATATCCTTTTCCCCCATTACGGTTTATTGAAAAAATTAAACTTTAAAATTACATTGGGTAAACAAAAACAGTTTTAAGTAAATAAAGTTTGACATTCAGAATGAAATTAATAAAAATCAATTTCTTTGAAAGTTTGAAAACTTTTGTATGCGAAAATCTGCAGTAGCACCCTATGCTAAGTCACACAATTTCTGCTATAAATTTTTTTTAACTTCCTTAAATTTTATTGAACGCTATGGTAGAAACATGAATTCAACCACTTTGAAACAAATATATATATTTATTCATTCATTCCTGAAATGCAAAGTAAGTTTTCATACAATAGACACATTTGTAGAATTGTAATGATGATAAAACTTACACACTATATTCATTAAAAAAAAAAAACCAAAATAAAACATCACGTTTCCAATTTTAACCAAAAAAAAAAGTTGAAGATAAAATTTTAGAAATTTGCATTGAAAAGCCTTATTATTCATAGTATGTTTAAATGGTGCCAGCAAATGATTGAAATAAAATACCTAAGTCGCTTATACTAAAAACTAAAATTTAAATCTTCTCATAAATGGCTAACAATTATACAACTTTTTCGTCATTATTCCAGAAATTTTCAAGATAGATAATTCAGAAAATTGCTTAGATATTTTGGCAGTTATTTAAATTTAATTTATAGAAAAAGGCAACGGTTTTCCAAAATGAAGTGTCACTCATACGATGCTAAAACTTAAAATAATAAAATTATGTCGTATAATCTCTAGATTCAATCATAAAATCAAATACAAAAGCTGATATAAGAATATCACTATATCGAAGTTACACTAATTGGAACATGAAAGATAATTCTACGTAATGGTCAATGGTTGCCATGACAGCTATTTAGTTAAATACTGACACCATTACATTCACCAATACTACATTACCATAGTATAATATTCATTGAAGAATTTCAGCAATAAAATATGAGAATGACAATGACACGTGCAAAAAATGCTTTGAAACTATAAATATAATATATATACATCTATAAAACTTCGCAAAAACAAGACATAGGTTATATATATATATAAAAAAAAAAAAATGAACAGTGAAATAAGAATAAGCTACTCATTAAATCCACTGCACTAGGTTCAAACCTACTCAATATAGATAAATCTCTACAGGTTTGATAAAACTGACTTGTCTTAAAAAAACGAGAGCAGCTGTTATAGGGTTAACAAGTCTCAAAAATAATTATTAATATAAGGAAGATATTTTATAGATTCAGTAATATTACAAGGCTCATTTCTAAAAACTGAATAGTCAACATACAATGAGTAGTCAAAACACAAATAACAAAAACTCTAAAATAAAATAAGATGCACAAAATAAAATTGTTCAGCCTTTCATTGATGCCAACAGTAGTGATTCCTTCTCATATCAACAGATTTCACTTTTAAGAACTAATATTAAAATGCAAAATACAGCAGCCGTAAATCTTTATGTAATTGAAGCTTTTTTAAAATTACTTGCAAAGGTTAACAGAAGTATTTAGAAAGATTGATCTGCAGTTAATTTTTAGATAGAAAAAGAAAAGAAGTCCTTTTGCCCACATACAAAGATTAAGGTTTATTGCCACGCAACAAAAAATTATTTATAAACTACAGAACATGTGTAGTAATTGGCATCTCTGGCTTTCAATACTAAAACTGCAAATTCCTTTCACAGCATAATAGTTAGTACAGCATAATAAATATATATGTATAAAAAAAAAAATCGACATTCAGAATAAAATAAAGAAAATAAATAAGTACAAGATTCCTATAAAGTGTAGTTGAAAGCATTTGCAGTGTATTTCTAAAAAATAATTCACAAATTATAAAAAGAAATTAAAAGTTTTACACATAATCTACAACAAAGTGAAAAAAATGTTTGTTTATAATAAAATGTGAAGGTGCTTTGTACAAAATTATGTCGTTCAGTTACTTTTTACAAGAATTATTAAGCAGAAATTAGCCCGATAAATTTGAAATTTATAAGAGCTAATGTTCATTGGTTATTTTGCAATTTAATTCTGTACAACATGAAGTTAAAAGATGGAAAATAAATATAAAATAGATTTTAAATGGTATGCAGCAGGGCAAGATAAAGAGAGGCAAAGATTTCAATAATATTTTAAAGCACTTTTAGGTTATGTTTTGTCTCACTTTCTTGGCAAAACAATGATTGTTATATACAGAAGTATATTCACACTTAGGAATAGTTTAACTGGGCCAAATTTTTTTTTTTTAATGCACAACCAAGTTGGCTTTCCTGAATTGATTAGACACATAAAAATGTTTTTTTTTTCCTTCAAGGTTTCTATTAAAAAATTAGGAAAAATGAAGTTTGATAAAATTAGAAATGTTAAATTTGTCACATACATGCAATATTTGGTATATTATTTGCATCTGCATAATTCAATTTAAATTGCATGTCAAAATCTTTGCACACTATAAAAATTAGGAAATGTTATTTTATTAAATAACAAAATATATTTTATTATTAAATATTATAAATTTTTATTAAAGACAAAATTTAAAATAGTAATTATTTTGTTTGTTAATAATTTGACTATAAGTTTAGAAATAAGAGTCAATATTATATAACATGGCGACATAGTCGCAGAACTTAACAGTTCTTGCAGAAAGATTTTTCTTTAGAGAAGTAAAAAATTTTGGTTTGTTTTTCATCAGAAATTTCCACGCAAAATTCGAATCACGCATTTAAATAATCACTTTTTGAAGCCCTCAATTAATGCAGTTATTGTTAATCCATTTTGATTGCATTTTCATCAGTTATTGACATTGATTTTCACGTGGCGTTTAGATGTCCGGATGTATTTCAGGTAGGTGATATGGGAAATTCGAATTGCGCATTTGATCATTTACTTTTTAAGGCAATCATTTTATCAATTTTTTGGGCATTTATTGCTTTTGATTTCCACATTATTCTTAAAACCCGATATTTTTCATACGGTGTTATTTTCTACAACAATCAAATCTGAAAATGAAACATTGCATTTGAGTAACACCCTTCTGAAGAGTCCGATTCGCGTGATTTCATCGTCGATCTGTTTTTCGTTTATTACTGCTACAGATTTCATTATGTTGAATTATTTTTTTAATGTGATGATGATTTGCAAAATGCGATAAAGGAAATAATTAGTGCGCCCTCCAACAGCATGCGAGAATATTGCCCATAATATTAGAATATTGCCCATAGATTGTTTTGTTTTTGTAAACACAGCGTTTTAATTACCTTTAGTTAGTAACATTCATCTTTGGTATTATTGAATGTACATTGCAGAAAGATATTAGTTCTAGAGAGTTTTGTCGCAAAAAGCCCGAAAAAATTCTGCCACTGGGATATAATTTTAGTGTAGCATATTCTTATTAAATTTACGTTGTAGATTTAATGTTTCAACTCCTTTTAAAGATTTTTATATTGATTAAATTATAACTTGAATCAAAATCAAATGAAATTTTTTCAATAAAATCAATGAAACTTTATATACACTAATATTTAAAATGTTATTTAATTTTTCTAAACAACTTACTTTTTTCTTTTCAAGTTCTCTCACAAGAGTACCCTGAAGTGATAAATTAAGGACCATTACAGCTTTTCAGTCCGAAGATTATTTCTCTTAAAAGACTTTTTTTTATTTTCCGTGTTTCCGCAGTATATTTTTCTCTAACAGATATTATAAACCCCGGTTCATTCAAACATTAACTACAGTTCAATTGCCAAGAAAATGTGACCAAATATAACAACGGTTTAGCTGCTATCCGGCTTCCTGAACAGCTTATTTATTTTTCCATCCGAGAGGAATAATCAAATGCTTTCAAAGACATTTAACAGAAATGCAGAAGTGTTTGATAATGAATATACAATAGAAAAAGCAAAACCTCCTACAAATGGATGGAAGTTAATACTTCATCTGAAAGTGATGTTCTACACTCTACTATCACTTCCAGTGTTTACTAAGAACCAGCCAGTTGGTCTAGAAAGAGAATGGTTAAGTCATGTAGTTGTGCAAAGGGGGAAACAATTTACACCAAACGACAGAAGAAACGTAAACACAACTGTTTCAATGCCTCAATGCTTGCTGGTCTCTAAGGAAAACTTCATAAGCTTCAGATATTTCATCAGACAGTTCATCTCCCACATCATCATTATATAAGCTAAAATGAAAACAATTTTAAATGCTTCAAACTATAATAATAACAATAAGAATAATAAAATCAAAACAAACTAAATCTCCATTAATATAATAGAGCACCAATTATTCAAACGTAGATTTATCGGATTGTCCACTTATGCAAATGGATCAAGGACCATGTGTTTTCCCCACTTTCTTCAAAAAAAAATAAATAAAAAATCACAAAGGTGTTTCCTTATTATCAAATATCTGAAAGGAGTAAAAAATGGTTTCTTTTACCCCTTGGTTACCTTGCTATTTCAGCAAGGGTGGCAAAATGAACAAAATAGTTGCTTTTAGTAGCTTAAAGCATGAAAATAGTTGCCTAAATAAGAACAAAAATAAGACTAATTGTCATATACCATGATACATTTAATCAAGTTGGTGGCAAATACGATAATTTTTATGTAAACGTTAGTGTTCTAGCACTAAAATCTTATATAAAAAAAAATTTTATATTTGCAGAAAATTAAATACTTTTAATTACTAGAATTCATTCAAAAAATACTCTTTCGTTAAAAAAAACACACACTTTTTCTAAGAAATTTTCTATGCTATCAATAATTGATTTAGCAAATATATATATATATATATNATATATTTATAGTGAATAGTGATTACTCAAATTCAAAATTCATGCATCATATTAAAAATTGGGATTTTTAAAATCATGCAGAATTTCTGAGCAATAACCGTTCAAAAGGCGATCGAGAAATGAAATAGACTTAAATCTATGCAAATTGAATGCATTATAAAGTGATGACTAAAAAATTGCAATCTAAAACTTTTTATTTTTAAATGTTTTAATTACTTATTTGATTTCTTTAAATTTTATTATTTTTATTTTACATTTCCTAAGAAAAGAAATTCTGTGTCTTCAGAAGATTTCGAGGTCTGCAGGTTTTCAACCCAATTATGCTAAAAAAAACATTGCTAGGAGTACAGAAAAGTCTCCTTTTCCTGAAAATAGTTGCTTTTTCAGAGTGGCCACTCAAATCAGATTTCAAATTTCCCTGATTTTTCCAGATAAAAATCTTAAAATTTCCAGGTTTTTGTTTCTTTTTTCTAATGAAGTGTAGGATGTGTACAAGAAAAGTGTCTATATTATAAAATATTTTATTCAAAATGTTGTTTTTTTAACATATCATCTTGAAAAAAATAATTTATTTTGACAATCTGGCAAGATTTTTTATTTATCTTCTAATCTTTCGGTACAAAATTTTGAATCAAAAATCATATTGACCAAAAAAAGCTTATTTTTTTAAATTAAAATATGTTCCAACTAATATTTGGAGAATTTTATAAAGTTAAAAATACAAAAATATTTTGTCAACACGGAAACAAATTACCCCGAAAGCATCAGAACAAGCTTGAGCCATAAATGGATTCAGCCTAAAGACAGAATTTAAGGCAGACATAAGGCAGACAGAATTTAAGGCAGACAGAATAAAGACAGAAGCTAATATCCTAATCCTTTCTTCCCCCTCCACCACAATCTTTCCTAAATTGCACAGTCCCATAGCGGTCAAAGGTTTCTACACTTGTTCAGCAACCACGGAAGAATTACGTGTGCATTCTAGTTCAACAGAGCTGTATTGGAGCAAATTTTGATGCAAGCAAAATATCGCTAAGTTGATGATATTTCAACTGTTAGGAGATACATTTCCGTCTAAAAAAAGTGGGTATAATGGATGAAATAATAATTTAAATTAAGAAAAGCTAAAATAAATTTAAATTGAGAAAATTAGAAAATAATTTAAATTAGTGAAATTAAAAAAATTATCAAATAAAAAATTTCCAGCTTTTCTTTAAAATTCCCTGATTTTTCCAGGTTTTTTATCCAAATTTCCCTGATTTTTCCAGGTTTTTTCCAGTATAAAAAAATTCCCTGATAATTCCAGGTTTTCCAGGTGGGTGGCCACCCTGTTTTTTGGTCTTTTCAGGCAAAAAAATTTGCCATAGTCGTGTCATGCTGAAAATAGTTGCATTTTAGTCGCCTGTGGCAACCCTGCAAATAGTTTCTAATAAAATGTTAAAAAATTCAACTTTTAAAAACACTCTTGTAATTTGCTATAATAGACACTACTACAATTGCTAATCCTAAGCTTGAAAATTTTTTGAAGGGAAGTTACTTAACATTTAAATATTATTCAAATTATTAAATATTATCATTTAATATTAAATAACATTCTTATAGCCATTTTTTTAAGTTGTAAATTTATCTGGATTCTCCATTATCTAGAAGGGCTTTGGTCCAAATAATTTACATTCTACTGTATTTCGGAATCTTTCAAATGAATAATTTGTAGTTTTTGTAAATTAGTTTATGATTTAAAACAAAAATAATTCAATCAAAATCATCCGAAATTGGGAGTTCAGTTTCAATACTTTTTTTGTTTTGTTTATGAAGAAGCAGATAATTTTGTTTCATTTTTTAAACTGCATACTTTAACATTTTCCTTCCCATGTGATTGAAATTAGGAATTGTTTTTTAGCAGCTTTATATTTTTTTTTCAGATCTCAATTGTACAAAACAAAAGAACTCAATACTTACTCATAATCATCAGCATCTGGAGTTAAGTTACCACTAGCATACTGAGATTGTAAAAACATTAATTCATCAGCAGTCATAGGTTTCCCATCAGGGCCATACATGACAGGCTCATCCTGAAAGACAATTAAAATATTTATAAATAAAGTTGATCTCAGAATAAAGTTAATAGAGAAAAAAAAATATATGCACAATAGCTTTAGATGTATATAAATTTATCGAAATTCCATTTTTCAAATTCTCTATTTTGCAAATTTTATAGAGCAACCAAGAACATTTTGGAAATTTCTCTGTAAAATAACTTCTAAATAGCGAAGTGAATTTTCCATTTAACAAACTTTTCTTTGAGATCCACTTTCCTATTTTCCAAATTAAAATATTTCAAACTTGTTAATACATTTTATGGAGGAAATGACCTTGATTTAATTTTTGAAGCCACTGCTTTATTTAATGCTTTACTGCTTTCTCTAAAAGTTATTTTAGAGAAAGCAGTAAAATCCCTTTCCCCCTTCAGGGGTCTGTCCAGGCCGAATTTATTACTGTTTAGCGGTACCTTTACAAATTCAATTTTGGGTAAAACGGTAGTTTCACAAATTCAACTTTATGAAAAACTGTAGTTTCACAAAATACTTTTTCTTAAATTTTTTTTTCTGTATCCCTTAAGAAACGATAAATCTATATTTTTACCATGTTTTTGTGTTGATTTTTTAATATAATTTTTAATTTGTCACAAATTATGTCAAAATTTTCACAAAATAGGTACCTTTCAGAAAAACTTAGACAGACCCCTGCCTTTTGTTTGCATTTCAAAAGAAAAACACAGACCAAATTAACAGATTTTATCAGTAGCAGTTTAACTTCAGAATGCATGCGGTAATGTATGTTTAAAATTACTTTTATAATAAATGTAACTAAAATTTTATGCATATATTTCTTTCTTTTTATTAGTTGAAAATGTATGTAGCATGATAGTTTAACACTGTAAAATGTTTTGCTCTATTCTTGCCTTCCATGCAGATTTCTTTTATAATTAAGATTTATAAAATAAATAGTAGATACAAGTTTACAAGATAAAGGAGCATCAATTGCTATTTGAATTATATCTAGTGTTTACGAAATTAAAACCTGTTTTGTGTTGTTTATGTATTTTAAAAGATGATTTTCGATTTAACAAAATTCCCATAACAAACTTATTGGGATTTAGCGTCTTGGTTAAATAGAGGTGCGACTGTAATTTAGAAAATCTAAGATAATTTCAAAAGTACTTCAGTAAAGTAGGCATGTTAGCAGCAAATATAATAATTACAAAGAAACTCACTAATGATGTTGGGGGAGCTGTTTCGTAACCAGAGTTCTCAGTAGTGTGTGATGATCGTCCCCAATCACTTTCACGAAGCTTTATAACACTATTAATCATATCTCTGATATTTCTAGAATAAAACAAAAACACACAATTATAAATAAACATTTATAGAAACAAGACACATGTGCGTGTTAATTACATATTTTAAAATTATTTTTGTGTTAACTTTTAAAAATTATTAAAAATTTAGCAATCCCTGTTAAACTTTGTAGTGTTTCGTAAATTAAATATCTACAAATATATTGGTTTAGTTAAGGTTGGTTAGTTTCCTGAATCTTTAAGATTCTTAATACATGGAATTATATTAGATCAAATGTTATAAAGGCGCTTTCCTCATTTTTGTTATTGTTGCCCACTACATAAAGTGAATTTCTAACATGCAATCTAGGAGCAATTTGACTTATCCAGTAAATATATACACAATTTAACACTTAATTGATCTAAGACCTAACAAGTCAATTCATTTTTAAATAGCAAGCAAATCATTTCAAGATATTTTAATTTAATAATAGCAATATATTTCAATAAAAAATATATTTCAATATGAAATCAACATTACAGGCACAGTAATAAAACAGAATACTAGCTATTTAAATTGCTTTCGCAAACATAAATTGTATTTTACATCATAGTAAATAAAATCAAGATGCTTCTGATTTTAAATAAATAAAAAAAACATTAAATTAGACTGTTAGTAATAGATTTCAATGCTGTTTAGAATATTAAGTTTCATTTTTAAAACTGGTAATTTTTCTGACCCTCTTTCATACATGTTTCACATCTCAAAAAAAAAAAAAACCCAATTAGTAAAATGGAATTATTTTATAATTTAAGTAATTCAATCAGTTATTCAAGAGCTTGAAATGTTTAGTATTTTAAAAATATTGTTTGGTTTAACAGCAATATATTAATTTATAAAGTGTATGTTGTAAAATGTAATGCAAATAAACAGCTGATATTCAGAGATTACTTAATATATTAGTCAAATATTTAGTTTCTAATTTTGTGCTAGATTAGTTTGAATATTAAGTTGAATGGTATTGCCTCAAAGTTTAAATAATTTTACAATTAGATACTCAAATATAAAGGTGTTGCATATTAATTCCGACGAACAAATATAAATATTTATATAATGAAAGGTCACTGGAGAAGCTCGGGGTTGTGGGACCTATGCTTACCAATAAGAGGCAATCCTTCTGAGATTTAAATTGAGTCACATTTAAAACCCCAACTAACTTGCAAAAATATAAACAAAGAAATAGCTAATATAGCATTAAACAAAACTACCCTGTAAAGGGGTGTTGAATTAAAAATTTCTCAAATGAGTGAGAGAAATATTTCATATAATATTTAATCTTAATAATCAAAATACTTTCTAATAGATAGAATAATTAAAATTTTGAATCTAGGGTTCTATGCACATAAGTATCTTTTTTTAAAAGGGTTTATTTTATTATTTATACATTAGAAAATATTTTATGATTTAAAAAAATAATAATTGGGAGAAATAGATTAATTTAAGAAGCACATTACGATAACTTGTTTCTGTTAGTGATATTAACAAGTACAGCTTCACTGAAAATAAATAACACTATAAGTTTATACTAATAGATAATATTAGAATCGTATAGAGCTTAATAAATACATCATGAGTAATATTGTTACTTTTAAAATGATAATTGACACCCCTTTAAAATTAAATAAATATACTATATACCGAGTAAATTCTTGGTTGCTTGCCAAGTTCTTTAATGTGAACATTATCACATCCATTTCTGGAGCAGTTCCATTATTTACTTGTTTGGCTCTTTCATAATCTTCCAAATATGCACCTACAAGCTAAATAACAAACATATCTTAAATATTTTATACATTAAGTGACTTAAAAATTATACATTGGAATTTGTATTCCTACGATTTTAAAATAAGAGATTCACATCCAAGTGATTTTAAAACCAAACATCGGGATCCATATTTACGCAATTTTAAAATCAAATATCGAAATTCGTATTTACAATATTTTAAAATCAAACACAGATTTCAAAATGCGATTTAAAAATCAAACATTGGGATTCAGTCACTAAAAAAAAAAAAAAAAATTCACACATAGAGATTCACACTATTATAAGAAATACATAAAATCTCGCATTGATTTTTTATTAAAAGATTAATATTTTGTGGATAAATGCTTTCTAAATAAACTTTTTTCATGCTCAGAATGCAGGTATTCTTTCAATTATTTAAGAAGTGTTTTTGCACATAACATTTCTTGATTTTTATTATCAGTTTTTTTTTTTTTAAATAAACAGGGTCCGTAACCAAATTATTCAACAAAAAATAAGCACCTTTTAAGCTCTTTTCAAGCACTCAAAAAATATTTTTAAGCACTTTAAAATTTTTTTTATCAGGCAGGGTTGGAAAGTTTCTGATCATCAACGGTTTTATCTTGTTTTAACCGTCATGTCAAAAAAGAAAAAAAACTATTGGCATTATATTTGATAATTGTTCAAAACCATGAAGTTTTGAATCATGTAAAACAAATGCGTTTTCCTACGCTACGAACTGACAATATGCCGAAATAGATTGGGGTTGAATTAATTGGGAAAACATTGAATAGAACAATGTGAACTGTGTCTTTTTGCATAATTTGAAGCGAAAATCAACATAGTAAAGGAAAAATGAAGCACTTTTCAAAAACACCCAATGAAAAAAGTACCTTTAAAGGCTTTCAAAAAACTAAAATCAAAAATAAGCATCTTGAAGCACTTTTTAAAAACGCTACGCACCCTGATAAACTCATCCTTTTGGTATTAATATAGAATTTTATAAGAAATGAACATATTATAAAACAATTTTCAAACAGTTTTTGCCAAAATGAGGTAGCGATGAAAGGGTTGAAACTAGTTACAAAAATTAATTTTCATTTAATCTTAGCCTGGTGAAGAGAATAAAATTTTAAAAACATTAAAGCCTTATTGCAAGGTTAGCTAGTTTTAAATCAAATGCTTTTTATTTTAAATTTTTTTTTTAACTACAGGAAGTTAATTTATTTAAATACCAAATTAAGAAGTAAAATCCAAATTGAAATTTGTTCCTAATCAGGGATGAATATAATTCTTTTCTCTCTCATAATATTAAAACAAATAAAATAAATCCTTTACTTCCCCAGGTTTTCCAAGTCAAATTAAATAAAAACGTAAATTATATTCCATTAAAAAAAAAAATACTAACATTATGTAAATTAAATTACTCTTAAAGATTATAGACAATTTATTAAAAAAAAAAAAAAAATAATATGTTCTACAAAGTTAATGGCGATAAATTAAATGATTAAAATTTAGGATTTAAATATTTTGATTTTTTAAAAAATAAATACTTAAAACAGTAATGGAAACACCAATGAGTAAGATAATTTGTTATGCTCAAGATTTTGAGCAAGACATACAATCTTTTAAAGTAATAAATTTTTTTTAAAAAGTTTCTAAATAAGCATATATAGTAATCACTGTTAAAGCGGGACTATTTAGAATGCACCAAAAACAAATACACAATATAGATATCCCAGGTACTTGAGCTCAGAAATGTTAAAGTTTCTATTTCACCTAATTTTCTATTTAAAATACTGTGCATTAATAAACATAAATGTTAATCAGAATAGACACTTCATAAAACCCTTTTTAATACTTAAAATCTCTGTTTTCCATGCCATTTCAACATTTATTCTAAGTTGCATCCTAAATCAAGCAGAATGAGAATATACATAAAATCACAATACATATGCATGTGATTTTATGGATGTTAAATTTTCATTAAGTATTGACTTGTCAATTCAATACAATCGGCATATAGACTTAAATATGCAAAAATATTTCAATTGGTAAAAATCTATTGTGTACCAAAATTTTTTTTTGAATAAAAAAAAGCTCACTTAATTAAAAAATCCAATATTTTACTAGAATTAATGATTTGGTTCTCTAAAATGCAAGATGACTGGTACACCTGTAATTCACTGCACTCTACCACTGTTTTTAAAACATCAAGACAAGGACTATTTAGTTGTTGTCTTATGTTCAAGTAGGAGTTTAGAGTTATTTAAATCACATATATCCAATTGCTGTCTCCCATCTACTAAAGGATAATAGAATCTCAACTAAGTGATTGTCTGTTCCACAGTAAAATTTATTATCTTTTTAATATTATAAAGAGCAATTGTAAACAAAAGTGTTAAATGTTGCATTACTGTGAGATCAGACATGGTGAAATATTCCTTGTTAATACCAGGTTTTGAGAAAATTAAAATTTATACCTGATTTTTGTAGCATTTGATTTTTCCTGATATTTCAGATACTCAAGGTGTTTGATAACACTTATATATTTTAGATAAATACATGATGAGTCTTATTCTTCGAATTAGATGATTCCATAATACTTCAAATAAACATAAATTTGAAACTTTTAGCATTTATCTAACCTGCCATATTAAAAAAGGTGATTTATTATAGATTTTGAGAAAAGAAGCTTGACAACTGGTTCTTTTTCCTTAACTTAATACAATCAACACTAAATTAGAATTTCCAAAAATAGATTTTTATTTTTTTGTTTTTATTGTGTAATATAAAGGTTATCATTGAATGTCAAATATAAAAATCTCAATTTTGATTTTTTCCCTCGCCAATGTAAAAATTAGTTGGTCCTTGTGATCACCAAACAGTTGAGAAATTTTAATTCCTTCGAAGCCTGAAATTAAAAGCATTTTTCAAATTGCAGTAGAATTGTATGTGCGAGAAGGAATCCTTCCTACCAAATCCAGCTTGTAGACGTGTGTGAATTTCATACATTCTTGCTTCTATACAATACAGACACCAGTACATTCAAATAGGTTGTTGAAACCCCACTGTCAAAACATTTTCGCTGACAAACAACATGTCAAAGAAAAATCCCTCATTTTAGAAGAGAGAATTTAAGCAGTTATTACAAATACCCAATGAAAATCAAGTACCTTTAAGGGTTTTAATTTCAATTTTTTTTTTTTAAATTTTAAAAAGACATGTCACAATATGCATTTCATTAATTTAAAATAAGCTAAATACAAAGCTTAAAAATAAGATAATTCGCAGATTCTTATAATAACTTATATAAATTATACATAAATTTTTCTTCAAAGATTCAATTTGCATTCTAGGAAAAATTAGCTTACAGTAGGGGTGCACAACCTGCGGCCCGAATGCGGCCCTTCGACTACTGAAGTGCGGCCCGCGAGAGTTTCTAAACACAATAAAAAAAAAAAAATTTTAAAAATGGCAATTTTTAATCGCACTTTAAAGTCATCACGTTTTGACACAATCAATTTTAACAGATTCTTTAGTAAATGTACGTTTAACGCGCTTTCTTGAAGCCGAATTTATCGTAAATATAAATGATTTTTTTTAAACAGTTATTTCCGCTTTTCTACGTGATTTTGAAAATTCCGAATTTTTATAACGACGCGAGTTTCAGATCGCAAATTTAAATAATCACTTTTTGGGCACTTTATTTGTGACGATTTCATCTTAAATCTAAGTGATTTTTTATCTTTTTTTTTTTTCAAATTCTTTCTTTTTTTTCAACAACTTTTTTCGGCAGTTATTGCTATGCGTTCCCACGTATTATAAAAAATTCCAATTATTCTATTACGACATGCAAATTTTAAATCATGCATTTGACACGCTTTATTCGTGCTGAGTTCAGCATAAATATATTTTTTCCCAATTATTTCTATACTTTTCCACATGATTTTGACGATCCCGTTATTTAACTATGATGTTATTACGACACGTGATTGTTAATCGCGCAATTAAATAATCACTTTTTGATACGGTATTTCGGTACAGTTTTATCGTAAATCCTAGTTATTTTTCCTTCGTTTTTATTTCCGCAACGAATATGATTTGGTCGAATGTGGTAATGAATTGTGATTTGATCAAAAACCAAATATTCGGCAAAAAAAAGAAGAAAAAATCTATTGAACGCCGTACACTTGGGGCCAAATAGCAAAATCTTTTAGCAGTATAGCAACACTGAAACTAAAATTTCAATGCTCAGAATAATATTTCCTGGAAAAACGTATTCATAAATTAACTCTAAAAAATAAGGCCAATCAAGAACGTTTTTGAAAATGTCGAAAAGCGAAACAGAGAACATAAAAATCAATCTTAATTTTTGAAAAATTTTTTTAAAGCTGAACATCTCAGTTTTTCAATTACCAGAAAAAGCCAAGAAAAAAGAATTAAGTCAACAGAAATGCTATTAAAAATTACTGCGTTATAATGAAAACGTCTAAAAAAAGTTTTTTTTTTTTTTAAAGAAAATAAAAAGATAGAAAAAATGTTCTTAATTTTTTAAGTGAAAATCTTATGCCGAAAATCTCAATTTAAATTTTTCTCATTGCCATAATTTTAGAAGAAAAAAAATTGCTATAAAATTTTTTTTTATTTGTAACTTTATTTTTAAAAAAATGCTGAGTCATAATAAAAATGCCTAAAAAAAGAAAAACAGAAAAAACAAATTTTTCTTAGTTCCTGAAACAAAACTTTAATGCTGAAAATCACACTTTTCTATGTTACTGGTTATTTATATTACAGTACAGGGAAAGAGTGATAATAAATTAATAGTATGAGACGTTCTGTTAAAATGCTGGGTTATAATAAAAACTGCAAAAAATGGATCCTTCTCAATTCTCAAAGTATCGAAAAAATGACAAAATTGACTTGTCTGATTATAATTTAAAAAAAAAAAGTAATATCTATAAAAATTCAAAAATAAAAAAAACTTAGAAAAATGCATTTCTAAAAAATATTTTGCCAAATATTTGACTGATCATTCAACCAACTGAATTTTTCACAGAAGGGCCAAATACTCGTTACATCCCTCCCTAATTTAAATGCAATGTTATTGCAACTTGAGAAATTCATAAAATGGCGGAAAACGTGAATTTTTAAACTGCTCACTGTTAGTAGTTTAGATTTCAATTTTTTGTTGCTTAAGTGATCTTTTTCGATAAAAAAAAGGAAAATGTTTACGATATAAAAAATCTAATAATTAATAAAATAAAATAATTAAGTACATTACAAAATAAGCATTGAATTTTATTTTGAACTATCACAGTTTTGTTTTTATTTTAGGCTTTTGTTTAAAACCTATAAATTTTCTTCAATTAAAATATTTAATTTGAATTTATGTTACTTAATTACGCTTTTTCCTACTTTTATTCTGTGGGCATTGCAGTTTTTTTTTTTTTAATTTATTAGAATTTAATTCTAAAATGAGTTTTCATATTGCATGATATGATAAAAAAAATATTTCTTTTCTTCAATGCTTATTTATTTTTATAAATCTATTGTTCATATGATAAAAATAGCAATAAGCAGTATAAGTTTTTTTATTTTTGAATGAATTCTAATAATGGAACACTACTAATTTATTGATATTACTAAGTTTATTAATAAAAAAAATGGAACGATAATGTTTAAATAAACATTATTACATTTGTCATTAACATGTCTAAATACATGTGCGGCCCTTCGTTAGCCAACCTGCTGTGCAAGTGGCCCTTCACTCAAAAAGGTTGTGCACCCCTAGCTTACAGTATTTTAAATATAATCAGAAATAGAAAAAAAAACTGAAATTTGAAATAGCATTTTAAATCATCAAAAAGTATACTAAAGACTTGTGGTAATTCAAATACATACCTTAAGAATTTGACAGGCACACTTTAAGTTGTCTGAAGATGAAAAATTTAAAATAGTTTTAATAAGATTTGGTAGGCTATCTCCAAGTACTGTAACTCTTTGCTTCATTACCTAAATAAAAGAAATTTTATATATATACACACACACAATATTTAAAATCTGATAGTCAATAGTCTGATGATAGAATTGAACAGTTTTAAAAATACATACAATTTAAAATTTTTTATCCCGAGTCCCTTTAATCTTTGATTAGTAAAAAATATATTAACTGTTTACATAACACTTTTAGAAAATATATGCAAAATTTTTTTAAAACCGATAAACTCAAAACCATTCTTTCATATCCAATTGTTAACAAATCTCATGCAAATATATTTTTATTCATCATAAATTATGAACTCAATTTGGAAGACTATTTTAAATATATGCTAATTATTACATAATGTAACTAAAATATTTCAGACACAGGATATTTTAGGTAATCTAATAGTAAATAAAATACAAAAACTATATTAGACTAATAAGAGATATAAATTTTAAATCTCTTTATTTACCATTTAGCACTGGCATAACTGTACTTTAAATATAAATATGTTTGCTTTTGAATTCATAACTTTGAACTATTATAAATATTGAATCCATTATAAACATTTAAAAAGAATTTACAGTAATGTTTCTTTTTTATTTTGGTAATTTTTTTTCATTTTCCAACAGAATTGAAAAGTGGGAACTTTTTAATAAGAAATAAAGATAAAAATCATAGGAAAATTTCTATACAGTAATCTCCAAGTTGCAGCACCTAATCCATTAAACTTTAATTGTAGGGAATTTACTAAAATGAATAATCAGGAAAATTTTCTTATTAAACCAGAAGAAAATGCCAAGCTCTAGTATGAGTTATCACCTGACCCTCTTCTTCACTTTAATTAGTAATGGTGTGATAGTCTTATGGGTGCTTACAAGGATTGTACATTTTAAACCTTCTACCCACTGATACTGTGTGCATTTAAAAAAAATCTGTGTTACTCTAACTTTTGAGCAACCAATTTATTTATAGCCAAATATTACCGAGTATGAATTAATTCACTGCTATGATTAATTAGAAGACATTTTGAAGGCAAAAATGTGCACAGGTTTAAACCATTGGAGGATAAAAACAGGCAGATCAACACTCAAAACTAACCATCCATTTAAATAAAAAGGAAAAAGAAAGAAATATTCATTGACAACTTTGTCTATCAACAAAGAAGCAATATTATTGCATTATGCACAAAATATTAAAAATAAATTTTTTTTATTAATTAAAAATATTTTTTGTTAAAAACAATAGTTAAGAATATCTCCAAATATACCTCCAACTGAGAAAAGAGCTCTGCCATAAATATAGCAAATCCTCTTAAGTAGGTACCACCATCTTCAGCTTGAGCAAGGGCATCTCTACGTTTGAATTCTTGATTGCATCTATAAATAATTTCAATCAGATATTTTTCTTACAAATAAATGGAGAACAAACATTTAATAAGCTGTTTTTATATAAATTTTTAAAAATTTTACAAAAAAATCTCTGATGTAACAGAACTTTCAATTTTTTAGCAACTCTTAAAACTACAGCAACTCAAATTATTTAAAATTTAGAATAGCACTCCATTAAAATTAATGGTTTTCAACTTATGTTAAAAAAAAATCAATTACCTAGTTAAAAGAACAGATCGGAAGTTGAGGCGATCAGGAGATGCATCCAGGTCATTACATAGTGACTTGCATAATCTAGCACCACTGTAACGCAAATTAGGCTGCCTAACAGACTAAAAGAAATCATTTTAAGTAACATAAATTTACATATAAAAAATAAAATACATATTATCCAAAGAAAAAACTTACTTCATCAAAAATAATATTAACAATTGCTCGCATAGTATCATCATCATCCACCATACTATTTAAAGTATCAGTTAAAGGTCCAATTTTTCTTTCAAATTTTCCAGGGTTCATTGTTATATCATTCAAAAATGATCTTAATTCTTGCACTGGGTATGAATCTGGTAAAGGATCTATAATAGGTTCATCAGGAATCTGGAGAACAATTGAGAATCAGTTTTCAGATACAGAAAATGGCACTTTAAATGTCACATAAGAAAAATAATAATGAAAAACTAATTTACTCTACACCAAGAATTGAAAATTCTAAATATCATGGCACTTTAAGTTGGTCCCAATATTTTATTATATTTTAATTTGTTTAACGAAAATTTTTGATTTTCCCAGTAAAAAGTTATTTTTTAACCAATAAATCTTAAGTCATTTTTAATTTTTAAAAAAATTAAAATAAAGCATGTGTTTGTTTTGATTTTAAGACATTGGTGTTAAGTCAATCCATCTTTATCATTTTAATTTAAGAAATTAAACAATGCTACTGATGTTATCGAAGCATTTTTTTTAAGAATTAACATTCTTTTGCAATAGATTTATTCCCATTTATTTATATTTGGTGATTTAAAGATTTCTGATAGATAATTTTTGAACATACATTAAACCATGTTACATTGCTATGCCAAACAGACAATATAATTCAATTTAGACATAAATTGATGTATCAAAATTAAGTTTCTAAGTGCAGAGATACTAACTTGAGTCTAAAAAAATTATAATTTTTCATCTTCCAAGTTTTTAAGTTGAATTGTTGAAATTAATATTTTTTTAAATTTTACTGAAAAAAATCTAATCTGCATAAGAAAATTCCTAACAGTTCTCCGAAATTTCAATGTTCTTTGCAAAAACATAGACAAAATAGTTTTTACAAAAACAGGCTAATTAATCATATATCAAACAAATATTTTTTAACTTTAACATGTAAAATAAAAAAGTTAATTATAGAAAAAGAACATATTCTTACCTCAGCAGCAATTATTCTAGGTTCAGGTCTGAAATTACGAGGAACAAATTCTTTAGCATAAGGGGACAATTTTGAAGCTTTGCCATCTTTATCAACAGGATTACTAATTGAGACACCATGATTTTGAGGCGATCTCACATGGTCACCAGATGGCGATGCAAGATAACTCATGTCTAGAAAGAAGAATAAATCACAAATAAATTATAAATGCTTTTTTCTTTCCTGAAGTTAGTATATGAACATACTCAATATTGTAAACTAATATATCAAAATATTACTGCATTTAAATCACCCTATAGCCAATTCTTTCTGCCAGAATCCTACTTTGTGGAATATATGACAATAAGATCTTATTTCTTTGAAGAAAACCCAAAAAGACACAGAAATTGACACTTTTAAACTCTTTATTTATGGAAATCATTGTCAATCAAAGAAAAGTTGCAATTTTATAAACTGAAACTTTTCTTTGATTGACAATCCACATGACAGGAAGCACTGATTTAAAAATTTGAAAATTTAACATAAAAGTTACGAATGTTGGGGGTATGCATCAGGATTGGGTTTTTGATGTCAAACTAGTTTTTGACATGATTCGTCAAAAAACCTTGGGTTTCTTTAAGACAATGGAGACACATTATTAGATCTTATTATTAATCTTACACAATACTTGCATTGTATACTACTATAATTATGATTTACATTATCTATCACAGATAAAAAGGTATCCAATATTATTTAAACTATCAATCGAAAGAATAGTTTCGAATTTCAGTCCTTTTTAATGAACTTTAGGAACAGAGAGCTTAAAAAAAAAATTTTGCAATCACATGCTTCAGGGAAAGGAGGAGTTAAAGTGGGAGAAAATTAAAATGTATTTTAAGTATGTCGAATAAGTTGCTTGCTGTGGGTTTTTAAGCTGATTGTTTTTGTATTTTATTTTCAATTATTATATAATATTTTCTACACTGGAATTTGAGTTTTTGACGACAGATAGTGTTTTCAATATAAATGTAAACAACATCTATCTCTGGCTCTGGACCTGCTTCACTTCTGGTTGGAAAGTTTGCTGCTGCTTACTACAGATTATTCTGTGAGGCAATATTTTCAAACAGATAATTTTGTTTTCAATAAAAGAAATTACAAAATTACTGAGCTCAAATCTGTATTTCATAAGATATTAAGTAATTCTGGTGAAAGTGAAATAAAAATTTATTTTAGTTATTTATGGATAGATTATAAAATATGATAACAGGGTTGCTAGATGTGGCTACTTTTTACTTGTTTGTTCTTGTTACTGTGCACCATCATACATTATGATCAAGTTAACCCGATGATCGAGTTTCCAGACTAAGTTCACTTTACAAATTATCATTTAATTTTAAATTTTGAAGTAGATACATTATTGACAAGGTAATAAGTGTTTTATAATAATTCTTTTATCAAATGCTAAGCTACACAGCAAGAGCCAATTAAGAACTTACTGCAAACACAGATAATAAATTTGGTGACAAATACTATGTATATAAGAAACCCAAGAAAATCTCACAAAGTACACATGAGCCAAATGGCCTCAAAATACACTGGACAGTAACCCAGAAGTATAGGCAATAAACAGCCTGCAACACTCCTAATGTAGAAAACACCATCCATTGTCAAAAAAAAAAAGCTTAATGTCAAAATAATTCAAGATTGTAATTGATTGATCACTTGTAATTATATAAATACATTTATTTATAACAGCTAATAATTATCCTTACACCAAAATTTTGGGTTATTGACACTTGTCAAAAAAGCGTTTTTAATAGGATAAAACCATGGTTAAAACTGGATAAAAGCATCAATTCTCAAATACTTGCCAATCTTTATTGTACCACGTAAGTTACAAACTACAAAAGTGTTTAAAAATAATATATTTTTTGATAAAGCAAGTAATTTCAACTGACAAAGCTCTTGAAAATAAATTTTTAATAATCTAATTATCTCAACATATAAAAAATAATGAATCTTTATCAGAAATTGAACATTATTTCTCAAGAGCCAGTGTTATCCTCGCTTGCTAATACTGACCATTCCTGATTGAGTTCTAGAGTAAAATCTGAAGAATTTATATTGCGGTGTATGCTACCGATAACATTATTCAACCTTTTATCAAAAGGTTCCTCCAAGTAGAATAGAGTTGGTTTTATATATTAGTGAATTGGTATGGAATAGATGCAGCGATGGTTATGCTACATTACACCCACAACAGAATTTTATCTGTGATAGAATTCAAGGAACGGATACCAGTTGCTGATTCATTGCTGTTTTACAAGAGTTTGGGAAATCTTTGGTCAGATCACGGTTGTAGACGAGGTTCCTCCTGTGTTGCAATTAGCAGGTCAAGTCTGGACAAGTCCCCATCGTGTGCGAGCGAGACAGAGTAGCAACAGCGTAAAGATGACAATGTCACAAATTCAACTGAACACTGCGTTCCATCCATCAAACTAGCCGAGTTCAAATCAAGGTGGGCGTTTCTGTCGAGGATCAGATCACGTCAGAAAGTCACGAATGTGAGTTTTACTATGAACTATCCATCGAACTTAGTGTGTTCAAATAGATGTGAAGTGGACGTTTCTTCAAGGTAGGCATGGCAAGATCACATCCAAAGGTCACAGGGCTTTGTGTGCTATCAATTACCAAAATCTTTATAAAAATTAATTTTTCTTCAAAATGTTTTAACTTTTATTGTTAATAAGTTATTGAAATAAAGAATTTCAAAATTAAAATATATGACGCACAATGGAAAAACTTGCAGAAACAAAATAATTAAAACAATTATTATTTGTGACAAAAGCTTTGAATCTTTAATAGCAATTACTTTAAAAAAAATTACTAATAAAGATTCACAACTTTGTTAAAAACATAATTATAAAATAAAACTTGCCAAAATTAAATATTAATTATGCTTTGAAAAAAACGAAATGGCACAATAATACTTTTTTTTTCAATGAATAAAATTATTGAACCTGCCTAAGAATATTTAATAACTTTAATAGAACACTTAGCTGATATGAACTTACAGCTCAGTTGGTTCGACAGTTGTCTGTGTGAGAAAAAAATTTTCATTCAGAAATTTGTAAACATGTAAGTTTATACTTTAATTCTCATAACAGCTCACATGCTAGATATTTCAATTCTTCATTGCTAACGCGAAGAAATGAGGACATTCTTTGAAAAATATTATATATAGAGAAAAGATAACATTGTATTCTGCATTTTTTTTTAAATATTAGTTTTTGATGAATTAGAATTTATTACCAAGTACTATAATTTTTTTCAAAAACATTTGACACAGACAACAAAAGTTCATAAAAAAATTTAAAGTATAGATTTTTTTTTCAGTTTCCTCAATTCTTATCATTAATAAATAAAGCATTACGTAATATCATTTATAGTTTAAAATTACGAATTTTATAAGATTGGGAAAAGAACTTCAAATATTTCTTTTTATTGACTCTAAAACAATGACTAAAAACTTATGCACTAATATTTTATGTCATGAATCGATTAACAAATTTTAAAAGAAAATACTGTCACATTCAGTTATAATGGAAAGCTGTCACCGATAAATCCGTGATTTTATTTACACGCTGTAAAGTGTCCAAGACGCCAAAAATCGTAGAGTTAGGGCTAAAAATAAATACTCCGGAAAGACTGACTTTCTAACACAGAAAAAACTTAGGACCATATTAGGTAAAATTATAACTTTTATAATACCTAAAGTAAAGGTAAAAATTAAGACAAGGTTTGAGTATCACTTTACATCACTGTTTTTCCTTGATAGATAATTGATTTGTTTGATTGAGAGTTGATTTTAATAGATAATTGTTAAAGTGCAATAATGCATTAAAAAAATTGTTTAGCTTATGAAAGAAAATTAAAAGCGGAACAATAAGCACATTTTTACTTGAAGCAAGAGAAGAGCATCAGAAACAAAACGAATTGCTTGTAAAGTATCACAATATATAAAAAAGTTTCTTTGTCTATAATCCACTTTAAATCCGCTCTTTAATTCACTAATTATGAAAATTAAGACAAAAATTAGTTACTCCTGATAAAACGATTAATAAGAATGCTTAATTATTGCAGTATAATATTTATAATGCATCAGAAATTTAAAATTAATAGTGATTAGAAATTGCCCGGGTATATTTTTACATACCTATTTATAGATAGTCACAGGCAATCACATATAATGAATAACAATTGAAGCAGATTAGTGATTCGTAAAACTCAACTATAAAAATATTTAAAATATGCAAATAAGTAACAGAGATTTTAAGCGTAATCTAAATTTATTGTTCTAGAGCAAAATCTTAGCACTTGATTATCATGACAGTCAACCAACACACTTTACTAAGAAATAGGTCTTCACGTATATTATTAATAAGTAATTCAATCTCAATGCAAATTTTTTTAATTATTTACCGCGAGCAGAATTGTGCCATGACGTTTCCGGGTACATTCCATTTGTATTGCTACCTTCTGTTGGTACATATTCTGGGCTTGCGTACGTGGAATATGATAGAGGACGGCGAAGTTCTGAAGTATCTACAGGCCGTCCACGCCCATACCCAGTGGGCGTACCGTCATTTTGATCCATTTTTTAATTATGTTTTAATATAATAAAATATTTAAATTTTAAGAAAATACTTAGAGCCCTAAATCTAAAACTAACTGCATTTACGGAATTGATGCCACATTTTCAATAACAAACTCTAATATTCCATTGTCTTCACTTCAGATCAATTCTGAAACCAATGAAAAATCCTTTTAAGGTCTTTATTTCACTGCCGTAATAAAACACGATAGCCTACCTATTTAACTCGTATTTTGGTTGGCGCCCTTTAGCGGTGATTAATGAAAGCTGTAAAAAAGGTTGCTTTATATTAAACACATTAAAAAGAAAAATCTGCATAATTTTTTATCTAATGAGCAGAGTTTACCAGTTTAACAATCTGTACCTAATTAAAAATTCAAATTTAATATAGATTAATTAATTAAAAGAGGTTCTCTTGATGAATAATTTCGAGATTACTCTTTTCTACATCGCTTCAGGAATATTCATTTCATTTTTATTAGAATTTTGAAAGAAATTTCTTCAATATCATTATAATTTCATTAGTTATACTTAGATCCTACGTTTCAACAATTAATTTTTCCATGGATTCAGATTCAGCTCTTCGAATTTTTAAAAAAATTGTGATAAGGGAAAATATGAAAATAAAAGTGTATAATGAAAATAATTATATGTTTGTCTTAGTTGTTAACGCCACACTAGAGCTGCTCTGAAGATGTATGGGTGACGGTCTGGGATGCATCCTTAATTGTCAACCGAAAACAATACTGATGCATGTTGTCTCTACAATACCATTATTTTTCCGACAGGAAAGAAAATATGCCGATCAGCCTGTGTAGGGGTTAGGAAACTGTCCTTGCTTCAGAAAAATTCTGGGTTCGAATCCCGGGAAAGGCATGGATGTTCTTTCCTTCTCTGTCCTTACGGTGGGAGCAACGTTGGCTCACCTAATATGGTGCCCCTGAAAGAGTGGACAAGTAATCTGCCCTTCAGATGCCTATATGACCTAAGTCGTTATCCAGGGGGCATTGGAAAAAAAAGAAAATATAGTGGTATCTCTGCTTTGCTCTCGTAGACTATATCATTCATGCGTGAACTATACTGCCCTTGATAAAGCCGGAACATTTCATTTGAAAAGACCACTAAGCCACAATCTGGAAAAAGTAACCCCAAAAGAAATGGTAAAAATTTCGAACCCTTAATATAAAAATTACTTTTACCGGACCTAGCTGAATCACCTCTAAACACTGTATGTTCAGTGGAGGTAGTGGGTTTGATTCCCACTGTTGCCTTGGAAGTATCTTTGGAGCTGTCGTTATGTTGTACCAATAAACAAACCGATGTTAATTTTACCTTTTGGATATTTCGCTACATTTCGGAAAGTTTTTTAGCTAATCGAAAAAATTTTGAACATTATTATAAGCCTCGTTCATACAAAAGTAATTCCATGCAAAAAATAGTTATAAAAAAATCATCAAATATAAGTAATATTAATAATAAGCAGTATTAAATAAAAATAATATTAAATATAAGTACTAATATTTTATATGAGTAATATTAAATATAAAAACATTTTTAAAAAATGTGATTGTATAATTGCGATCACTGGTTACGCATTGGCCTAATGCCTTTTTACTAGGATGGACTTCCATAAACGTCACAAAATTTCAAGTCATGGGTTGCAAAAACTGTATCAATTGGTATTTTTCCTCTTATCGTGCAATGGGCCAAATAGGTTTTTCAATGCGATATTAACAAGTGACGTAGTGTGAGTATTTCTATCTTAATTGGTTGTTGAAACGTGGAATTTGTTTATGTTAGCAAATATTATTTCCTTTCTATTTCGAGTATTCCCTTCTATTTCGAGTAAGTATCAGTTCTTAAGTAACACTTTCTGAATTCTTTCACAAAGATTATTTGTCAAAGATTTCATTTCTTTCACTATAAATTTACACAGAGACTTAACACAAAGACAGGTAAAAAGCCACGTGGAGCATAAACAAATTAATTATTCATCAAATTTGCCAGGTACACAAAACAAAAATATATCACAGTTACAATAAAATACACAAACAAATAATAAATCTAAGTGAAGTAAAAGAAATAGACGAGAAAGAATTATATTTCAACAAATTGGATATGCGATGCTGCTGTTTTTTCAATTAACGTATCGTTAATTAACATTTTAACTTATGTAGAGAAGCATAACTCAACTTTAATAGGCCATTTTGCTGATAAAGATTAGCTGGCGCTGACGTCATAGGTCACATGTGCGGGTAGGGGAAAATTTCTTCTAATTGAAGTACAAACACCCAATTTCGGCCAATATATATTTTTAAGAAGTAAAAAAATTATTTTTATAGTGTCAAAATCAGAGCTGAACTTGATCGTGGCTTCTCTATAGTTCAATCAATTTCTGTTTGCATCATTTCTATTGGACGATTCGTATTCCTATACTAACAGAAATAAATTCCTATTGGTTGCTTCTATAACGGATTGATCATTGATGGATTGCAACTGCACAGGTAAGCGAAGAGACGCCAGCTTTAGACAACTCTATAATAAAATTTCACATCTTTATATTAAAATCGCAGCGAAGACAGTAATTATGAACAACTTTATTCTAAGAATATAAAAATACTTTAAATTAATATTATGAAAAAACATTAAAAATGCACGCTAATAGAAAGAAAGAATAAAATCTCGGTTAGGAAAACAATTCGAGAACGCAACGACCTATAGGAGGCGTTGTTATTGGAGACGAATGACTGCTAGCAGAACAACACGATCATCAGTTGGATTGGAGATGTCTTCAGTGTAGTATTGTAACGTTCCTTCTTTATCGTGGCTTATTAAATTTAAAATAGAAAAATATTTTTATATATATAGAAAAATATTTGATATTCTTTCTCATGGAAGTGAAAACAAAATGGAATATCTTCTTTTAGAGAAAGAACATCTAAAACACATCGTAAAAATAGTAAAAAAAAAATATGTATCTTCTTATTAGAGTTCAAACCTAATGCCTGCGAAATTGTTTTACTAAATTTAATGATATAACACGAAAGGCCTATTTAAACTTTACATTCCATAGTTTTATGAATCATATTACTTCAAAATATTAAAATATGCAAAAAGTATACATAAACCCATAATGTTATATCATTTAATTTTGCAAAAAAAAAAAATGTTTTGACAATTTTTATCAAAAGATTTCAATAAAAAATCATTATTTATAAACTAAAAAAAGCGTAAAATAAGGAATGCTTATAGAAAAAAAAAACGATTCTAAAAGTTCCTTACATAAAATAAAAGTTTTTCATGTTTTTTTTTTATTATTCCTAATCAGACGTAGAAAATCATTCTATAGAGAACTATCATCAAACTAGAAAAAAAACGCTAACAAACAAATTTTTTATTATAAAAATCATAATGCTTACCTGCTTTATAAATCCGGAGAATTCCAAAATGAAATGTTCTTTTTTTGAAAATTTTATTCTCAAATAATATATACATAGGTAATCCCTTCATTACTTTAAGATGACATACCACACAATAAAATTTTATAATTACAAGATCTCGATAGAAATTTCAAAATGTAACTTAAAAACAGAATGGCTGAATCCTTATTGAAATTAATCATTCAAAATTTAAAAATACTTACCAGGAAAACGATAAAAATGTATTAATAACCAACACAAAGGGTACTATTTGAAGTAATTCGGATGATTCTTTATTGTTGTTTGTCGAATTATATAGATACCGAAATATGTATTATTCTATGAAGAAGAAGAATATTGTATAACTATTACAGTTCTGCACGTTTTAAAATCACATTTATTCATTGGAATGAAGCAAGCATGTTGACTTCATTTTAATTTATAATGAACTGAAGACAAAAAAATGTATTTTACCTTAGTACACATATTTTTAACAGTATGCGATCACGAAATCGGAAGTTATCAGATGCAAGTTTGCTGATAATGGAAAAGAAAAAAATTATTGAGAAATTGTTCTTCAAATGTTGGGTGCTTTCTGCTTCCGAATGATTTACCAATGTTCTGGGTCGTTTTTTGAAGTTTTTCAGCCTTTTCCATAGGGAAATTTTGCTTCTTATGTGCTACTGAAAGAAATGGAGTCTTTCCCTACCAATGATTCTGACAGAACTAAATGAAAATTGAAATGAAAGCCTGAAAAAATCCTTCCCGCTAGAGGGAGTGTTCAAGCGTTGCGATCGCGAATCAACTCCAAAGAAATTCAAATTTATCGTTTGCTTTTTTAAAAATTTGATCCTGTTGTGCTGATTTTTTATTATTGCTTTTGTTACCCTGAATTTTAATGACTCTTACAACTCTTTATTTGTTATTACGGTGCTGAAGTTGATCTAGTAGATGAATTTGATCTAGACGAAGATTATGCGGATATTTAAAACCTAGAACAACACCATTTTCTCCAAAAGGTAATTTTTATTCATTATTTTCTGTTATTATTTTTATCAGTGGTCAAAAGATTTTTGAAGCAATTTCGGTACGCAAATTCATGCAAAATTTTACATCCTTTTAAACTATGTAATTTTAAATGACGGAATAGAAAATTTGAATGAAATAGGTCAAATAGCTTCCCAGTAATAAAATTTCACAAAAATCTTTTATTTGAAATTTGATTTCTCAAGAACTATTCAACGCATTTCGTTCAAATTTTCTATTTTGATATCTACAATTACGTTATTTAAATAATTGTAAAAATTGCAAACCTAATATTTCATAATTTTTTTCTTCTATTCCTAAATTAAATTAAAAAAAATAATGAAAAGTAATTAAAAAAAAATTTCGTAGAATTATATTCAGATAAACATTTTTAATTGTGTGTAAAAGCTTCATGACGCTGAAAAAGTTCCTGAGAAGAGGCGAAAGTTGTTGTTGTTTTAACCGCTCTCCTGGTCATATTATTGGGACCATATGATCCGATTTCGTAACTTAAAATGCCTGTCCATATAATTGATTGGCTAATTGAAGTTCAGGTCTTCGACCCATTACGATTGAGTATATGAAAATCTGATCATTTAGTTATTTAGGGTGTTCGCTTTCTCATTTTGGAAACTATACATTGCCTTCATGAAAGAAGTGATAGCCAAGCTCAATCGATATTTCCTTCTTAT